TAAAACAGTATTATTTTAACTCCATTGGTTTATAGTTAAATTAACGTTGTTTTTTTAAATTAATTACATATTGAGTAGAAGCAGTGGCGACATATAGAAATTAAAAACGAATCAAATTGATATAATTTGACACTACGAATTTAACAGTGAACATTAGCAGCTTTCAAGTAACAGTATTTCTTCTTGTATCAAGCTCGAGCGGTATCGAAATCAAGCTAATGGTGCTTAAATTAGAAATAAAAAGATATCGATACTTTCAAGAATGTTTGCATTGGATTAAAATAGCCATTGCTAGTCCATCTCGCCCTCTTAACGCATATCCCGCGAATCAGTACGAGAGTCTCCCCATATAGTCTTAACACGTGTATCACACCCGTTCGACACGCGTGCGATTCGCGAATCTCCTCCGACGGCAACGACGTTGACGGTTGCCGACGGTGGAGGACCGTGGAGGATGATGGCGATGGTGGTGCGTCGTCGCGTCCGTGTGTATCAACCCCATTCACTCGGGGATTAGCCTTCGAGATCGCTGACTGCTGAAATGTTCACAGATCGGTTTACCGTTTAGCAGGATAGAGAGTGTGAGCCCCGTGATCCGTGGCCCGTGTGAGCACCGTGTGTGCCCTACGCACACGCACGCACGAACGCAGGGCATACCATAGCGCACGCGTTGTAGTACGATGTTAAAACGGAAGCTACCCCGTGTGTGCCGTACCTCACCACGCGCTCGTATCTCCAATGCGTGGTACGCGTATGTACGTGTGTTTAAGCGTGCAGAGAAGGCGCCTACGCCTACGCCGCTCCACTCCGCTGTGGGAACTCGCATTGTGGACTACACGTGCCGGCTGGAGTATTACGGTGGCCCTGTGTGTTTATAGGTGCACGATAAGATGATATGTGTGTGTGTATCTATGTATGTATGCATGAGCGAGAAGAGGCGGTGAGATAGAAAGAGAGAGAGAGAGAGAGAAAGAAACACAGCGGAATCACGAGATGAAAAGCGAACAGGGCGCGGTCCATTCCAGCGCATGCGATTCTAATCCCCGCCGCCGTGCCCATGTCCATTCGCCGGCCGGATACGCACGTACTCTCGAAAATCGCCCGTCTAAGCCGTTGACGCGCGAAAAAACTTGGGAGGGGGGGGTTACGACAGCACAATATCTAACTTACTTCTTTAAAGACTCGGGCAGAGATCTGGGTCGGAATTTTCTTTCGATCAAAATTCATACCGATATAATTTTGCATTATATAAGCACATTTTATAATCGTTTGTAGGACGCTAAGATATAAAACGAAATAATTTCCGTCTTAGTCAGTACCAAACACCAGTTACATTACATCAATGTTATAATGTAACTGATGCTCTGGGATCATTTTATTTGGAGAAAATTGTAAGAACAAACTTGAATCCAAAATTTAGAAGATGCCAGTAAACTAGAAAAGTATACATAATTGCAACGATTGCATTCGATTTTCAATCAATCTTCGCGTGAGGCTAAGAGATCAATTTGTCCCGTTCGTTTCTCCATGCCAAGAGCTTTTCCCTTGACGCACATTCGTTTCCGCTTCGCAGAACTTAAGCCGCTCAGCTATAAAGCTCTGTATTTGAGCAGCGATGCGTGCAGAGCGACAAAATGTTCCTCCTTGATCGCGAGATGCTGTGCAAAGCGAGGCGCTTTTGTGCGAAAAAGGCGAGCTTATAATGGACGTGCCATGGCTGCGAAAAAACAGATCGTTTTTCGTCTTTTTCGCGGCAGACTCGACGAAGCTGATCAAATTAAGACTAAAACCTATGTTACTCGAACGATATTTACGTATCTTATACGCGCGCGAACACAAAAATGTAAGAAAAATATACTGCGTTTTTAACTTGACATCGCGATTTCTTCCAAGATGAAATTTGTCTGAGATTCATTAGCTTTCGTAACTTTTATCTTTTTAAATCGTAATATCTAAATTACAATTGAGATCCAAGATATTTAAATTGGTAAATATCTTGGATCTTGGTACTTTGATCCCAAAAAAACGACCATTCAAAACATATGAGCTCAAAAATATTTATTTATATACATCTTTAAAGCCCTATCAAAATTTTATAATTATGTCAACATTATACATATTTTTAATGAAATTCCCGTTTTAACTCTAATAAAGAAAGAACTGTTTTCTTATCACTAATTATTCTAAATTACATTAATGTCCATTTCTGTCAATACAGGTTAATTTTAGTCTTGGTTTAATTTATCTTTCATTTTCTTCCAACTCTATGAATTAGAATAAAATATAAAGTAAAAGTTAAACCGAGATTCTCTCAAAGTTAATCTGCATTTGCATACGATCAGTTTGCAAACTTGTCATAAATATACAGATGTATACAGATGATATATCAGTCTTGAAGGGTAATACTGCTACTGCATCGAGCATAGAAAATCATTGTTTGTAAAGTAAACAAGTCTTTTCATTGGGCGCGTTTTTCCGGCAAGGGAGCTCACCGTTGAAAGAACAATTACTCCAGGAAAATAATAATATTTGTACCTGTTACGATGTGCACGGCCAATTTGGTCGATAAAGCAAACAACCCCGAAGCGAATTTCGCATTGCTTCTTTTTGCTACGTACACGCGTGTCTGCGCATATAAAACTGCTGCTTCGATTCGAAAAAAAACATCTCTTTTTTACGTATCTCAACTTGCTTATTGACGACGTTTCGTAATGGTAAGATTTTAAAAGAGTTAAGAAGCACGTATTTCTATATAATGATGACATCTCGAAGATGAATTGTTACTGTTATTGGATTACCAAAAAACTTCTCTACCGTTTATAGAACAAAACGAAATTTCAGTATACAAGATCATAATAGACGTACAGACATAGTTACAAAAAATTTGATAAAAATAACAGCAATTAATAAAATAACAAAAAATTAGCATTTGCTTAGGATAAAACACTTTATTTCATACACTGCGGTGAAAGTTAAAAAATTCTTACATTATTGATAATTTTTTATTATCTATGACAAAACTAATTTACTATTTATTTTGCCAGGCAATTAAACTTCTTCAAAATTGTCAAGAGAATTCGATTCGATTTCCCGATTATATTTATTAGTAATAATTGAATGAATAACAAGGAACTGTTGATGATGAAATTAACAAGTGACAAGTTATAAAAAGGGGAGACAAGTAAAAAGTTTTCGCAACGTATCCTATATTTATTCCATATCCTATCCTATATATTGTTTTAGTTTTAGTTTGAGACTGCGTTTTAAGACCGAGGATATATACTGACGCGTGGTTTGCTAGGGCGAAGAATAGTACATAAAATTCACACAAATAATATTATAAGGCCATCAAGATCCAGTTCTGATCGTAAAGATGTTTCCTCTAATTAATAGTAAAAAGGAGCTTTGACAGTTCAACGCGATATAAGCTAACGTTATATCGTTATCGTTATAACGTTATATCAACCTTTAATTTTTTATTAGTTTCTTTAATATGTTGACAATTGAGCCAGCGAACATTTTTGTCATTTAAAACGTGCGAGCAATGTCAGGAAATTTTTAAATATATTTATCATTAATATACGTTGATATATTACACTGTAAAAAAAATTTGTAAAATTACAACTATTATAGTGGGTAGTTTTGAGACCCACTATAATAGTTGTAATTTAAAAAAATTACAGTTCGGAAGGAAAAAGTAATTTTGTATTACAATTACACAAATTAAAGATGTGTGGAAATTTACACCTATTATAGTGGGTCTCAAAATTACCCACTATAATAGTTGTAATTTTACAAAATTTTTTTACAGTGTAGATAAAAATATATGGATCTTTAAAGAAGAAAATTAAAAAATGATTATTATGAAAGATAAATAAGTAAAAGAATAATAATGTAACATTTTTTATTAGAAGAAAACATCAATATCGTATCAGAATCCCTCTAAAGAATCTATAAAAAAACGATCTAAAGAAACGTATCGATAAATAAAAACAACCTAAAATATAATGCATTGCGATTAGGCAGCGAGTCGCGCAATAGCTGGCATGTTAAGAGAACATGCTAAGTCTTAAACAATTAATATACCACTTTTCAAGGAAATTGGATGCTGGCGATTAAAACGGCGACGTCCTGATGCGAGAAGAAATTGCCGTTGCGCCAGTGGCGAAGTATCTCTCGACGGGGCGATGCGTGATAAAGGGGAGATATTGCGACGCCAGTGCGAACGTGGGAATCCGCGGCTGCTATCCGCTCAGCCTCATTAATGATGATGTGCTTGCCACCCAGTTGCAGCTCTCGCTTCGCCATCTCGCTCTATCTGTCTTCCTCCCCTACAGCGTCCTCTGCTTCCTCCGCTCCCTCTTTCTCTCTCTCTCTCTCTCTCTCTCTCTCTCTCACACTCACTCTCTCTCTCTCTAGATTTGTAGCCACGCTCGAAAGATCGAGCTCTGTGGAAGCTGACGCCCGGCCAGCTACCACATCCGATCTACACCACCCTCTTTCATCCGCGATTCACCCCCTCTTCCCTCTCGACCTCTTGTTCGCCTCTCCTCCCCCTCAACGGGTCACGGGATATACAGCTCTCGTACATCTCGAACGACCTACAACGCGCGTTACACCCCGAATTCAATTCCGCGCAACCTGCGCCCACTTTTTCGCTCCCACCGTTAAGTCCATCGCCGATATTATTGATAGGCGTTTTCTAGATGCGGACCTTCGATCGCTGAAGGGCGAGGGTGCATAAGGATACTTTTCATTGAGCTTCAGAAAGAGTTGAGAGCACTTATTCATCATTACCGACTCTTAAAAACGTTAATTGTGCGACTTTTTCTGTACTCTTTTCCGTAAAAAAGCAAAAAAAGTGTAGCATAAAGTACATTTGAAAAGTACGCAAGTAGAAGCTTCAGTCGTAACATCTCATCGAAGAGCTTCATGATACAATCGCGAAGCGATCTGTCAGACGTCAAAAGTAATATAATTACGTCATAACTGGTGTTTAGCAGTGCAACATGAGCGCGGACCGAGGAAACCGAAACCCCACGCGATTATGTCGTCGGAGAAGCAACATCAGCAACAGTCGCCGATTGTCACGCAATTGTCTCCTCATTCTGCGGCCCCGGTGCACAATGATCGATTAAGACCGGCACTCGCTCCCCCGTATGTTCTCTCGCCGCACAGGTGTGTAACGTTTGTATTTTTAATTGATTGCTTTAATCGCGTTTTAAATTAAGATATTTCTCTTAGTATAAAAAACACATATCGGTATATGACAGTACTGACGAGTGATAGAAAAATCATAAGAAGTAATCGATTAACGGATGTTTGTGTTAGATATTGAAAGAAGCGAACTGATTATTCCGATTAACGTCTTATTAGGGTGCTAATCCACTACCGCATTAATGGCAGATTCTATGATCAATCTGATGTTGACATTTTCTTAATGAAAAAGTGTCTAAATAGTTTTTATATAATTGGCTAATGAATATAACAAAATAGAAATTGATATTCTTTATATGCAAATCTTTAAAAGATTCTTAATTTTTTGGTCAAAATTATTTCTTGCAAATAAGCGAAGATTCAAGTATTTCATTCGCTATTTGATCTTATCAGCAGACTAAACGTAAATGAAAGAATTTTTATTAGTTAGAAAAATTCATGAAGATTCAAGAAATATAGATTGCCGATTATAATCGCATTGATTCGAATTCTTGGAGAACTATACGAAAGACTAGGTATCGCAGAGCATTAGATTGTAAAGGGTTAACACCTAAAAATTACAAACGCACATCACAAATCTATCGAAAAAAAAATCGTGATAAATAATCGTTCCCTGCGTTAATTTCATCGACAAAAAACCTGACTTCAGAATTGATCTGAGAATTTAACCGACAAAGCGTTAATGCGGTGGTGGGTGAGACACCCCCGTGTAGCTACGGAAGATGATAAAATTTCATGAAGCGACACAGACTCTTCGTGAAGTAGTTAAGGGTTGTTACTGTAGAAGGTTAAGGTGCGACCAAAGATTCACGCCTTACCCACGACCGATGGCGCTGGTACAGAAACCGCCGGAGGAATCACCGTCCCCCGTACCGCTGATCCTACCGCACCCTCGCACGACCACGACCCTCTATCAGGCGGCCACGACTGTCTCCCTAGCGCCGCAGCCTCCCCTTCTGCAGATACTAATGTCCGCCGAGGAATGTCAGGTAAGTAATTCAGCTTAATTCAGCTCGCCCCCACCTCTCTTTTCATTCCTGCAAACTTAATAAAGGCGGGTTCGCTCCGCTCAGTTTTCTGCCTCGCGGTGTCTAAACGGGCAAATTACACGCGGGGATTATTATTAACGTCAACCTCTCTCGACGACAATGGAGACAATACTTTTGCCTCGCGGATGTCAATTATTGGCTTTTATTACGTATGCGATAAATGTATTATTTAGCCTGGAAACAAGCGCCTGGTTTTTTTGTGCATAAATAGTCTAGATTTTTTACATCCTAATTAAAAGTTATTGTTATTAAATTACATATTGCATATTTTTTATTGTTCTATAATTTACTAGAATTTGAGGATGTTATTAATTACATATTGCATATTTTTACTTGTTCTATAATTTATTGGTATTTGAGGATAATATGTACATGAGATTTACTCAACAATTTCTGAAAAGAGCAAGGAGAAACCAAAAAATATTTAAAAAGCGAAAGAAGCACATAAAAATTATAATACTGTGACATAGGCTTTATCTTTTTAATACTCGGATGTAAAATTTATCTCAGGCGCTCGTTCAGCGCTGCGTTAATATTAAAATCGAAAAAGTAAAAATAGCAAAATCGAGTGATGATAAGGGAAATAGAAATAGAATCATCTTCAATTAAATAAATTGTACATTATAAACGCAATGTATAAAAACTGTATTGTTATAGCGTTTTTGCGAAAGAGAACGTAATTTCTTTTTCCCCAATGTTTATTTCACAGAGGTAGATTTACCGATCATTTATCTACCTACCGTACACTTCGCCATTTGTTATATGTCACTTTGCATTCTTTTCTTTTTGTGAGAAAAGTTTCGTGCTCTCGTTGTACAAATTACCGCCTCGCTTTGCCGTAAGGAACTGGTTTGGAACGCGCGATTGCAACCTACGGCGGAATATCCGATGGAGCAGATGGAGACGGAGACGAGTCGGAGTCCGACGGGCACCATACAGAGCTTCAGCCCGACCTGGGAGATGCTGCAGGTACTTTTCGCTACTTTCGTCGCGTGTCTTCTTTTCTTCTTAATCGTTTCGTACCGCGTGTCGCGTCATTTAATCATTAACACAGGAGACGACGGCCCGACTGCTATTCATGGCTGTCAGATGGGTGCGTTGCCTGCCTCCTTTTCAAGCGATATCGAAGGACGATCAGCTGTTGCTGCTAGAACGTTCCTGGACGCAGCTGTTCCTCCTGCACTTGGCGCAATGGTCCGTCTCCTGGGACATCACCGCGCTCCTCGAGGACGAGCAAGTGCGCAGCAGACTACCCACGGACGACAATCCGACGAATCAGGAGCTCGTCCTTATTCAGGTTCTTACTCTTTCGTTCGTAGCAAGCTTTTTTCTTCACTATTAAATTCGTGCCAAATTATACTCAATTTGAGTTTTTTTTAACCATTCCTATAGGTCGCCACTGTTTCTACTCAATATATCGTTAATTTAACTAATGTTAATTTGACTAAACCAGTGGAGTTCAAATAATACTGTTTTGTGTTAAATTTCGACACACATGGTAGTTAAAAATAACTACTGTAAGTATTGGTTTAAATTCCATCCTTTAATATTTAACAGTGTTGGCATAGAAAAAAAAGCCGGAATTATTATCTTGTTGTTTCCAGTTTGTTATTTGTCCGGCTCGCATTAAAATCCCCAATAACAAAGACTAGACTATAACGCGTCGATTTAATTCAACGTTATCGCCCCTATCTTTCCCTCATGTTGCGAAATATGGATGTGCAAACGCCGACGAGATTTTGTTTATTTGAGAAGATGAATTGTTACCGTTTCTCGATTTTGGCGAGTGTTTTTCTGTAATCTCCCCCGCAGATTCGTTTCAAAGTTCGTTTCAATGGAGTATTCTCTTGCGTTCTAGGCTATAATATGCCGATTCAGGCAACTGTCCCCCGATTTCGGCGAGTGTGGCTGCATGAAGGCAGTGGCTCTGTTTACGCCAGGTAAAGAGCGTCGTTAAACTAATTGTCATACCAGCGTAAATGCGGCACATAGATTATTTCTGAACGATAAACCTAGCGCTCGTTGCAAAACCATCGAAGGCGCGAATTCAGTTACTCAATATAATGTCATCGTTATTGATTTTACATTATTATTAGTATTCTCATTATTTATTTCAAATTATTCGTAATACATTACTTCTCTAGTCTAAGAAATAACTCTTTGAAATTCTTAGATAATTATTAATCGCATCATTTTTGAAGTGTTGATCGCATTTACTCTTGTGTCATAATTATCTTCAATCAATTCTGCCTCGCTTATCAATCGAACGCGTGATCTCTCTTTGTAAATCGCAGAGACAGTGGGCCTGCACGCGGTCCAGCCTATTGAGATACTGCAGGATCAGGCGCAACGTATTTTAGTGGATTACACGAGGTCGCGGTATCCGCAGCAACCCGGTAGAATCGGCAGGTTGATGATTTTAGTCGGATACCTGAGGTGTGTTTCTTCCAAGACCGTCGAGCGCCTGTTCTTTCACGAGACCATCGGGGAGATACCTATCTCGCGCTTGCTAGTCGACATGTACCAAATGGAGAAGTATATCAACTGAAGCGAATTTTGCATATCGTATATGTACGCGCTGTACGCGTCATAAGTGTGTCAGGACCACAGCGAGCTCGCAGCTTTCCAAAACTCTTCCGATTCTCTCTTTCTCTTTCTCTCTCTCTCTCTGTATAGAAACAACAGAATAGAACAAGAGAAAAGTTTTCGAAATCTGTAGTAGCACGAATTTCCTTTCCGCTTCTCCCTCTCGATTATGTAGTATACCGTTAATATCCGACGCGGAAGATAGAGTTTACTGTTTTATCAAATTATATAAGATGAAATTTCTACACCATTGCTGTTAAAGAAACAATTGCTCTTTTATCGGTAATTTTTATAGAACGCACCGTAAAGTGTTTGGTTGTCCCGTTGATTGAATTTGTTATTTATTTTTTCTTATTTTTAATAATGTAATTAAAATAACATTGTATATTCTTGTGAAAATACATTCGCATTTAATTGCTTTTGTTAATGCTTTTACAATAAACGTGCTCGAATTTATCCACTTTTTATTACATATTATATTTTAATGTAGTTTTAAGTAAAAATACAATACCCAAATATATTCAAGAAAATGTGAAAAGTGATTAAACATGTATGTTTCTGACGACACTAGGCATTCTACTCACAAAGGCCCTCGTACTATAGTATCCACTATACTATCGCATTTCTAAGTAAAGTTTATGTCATTGCTTATACAATATATCAAACAGTCGTTTTTCTTTTATGCATGATCCAAATAAAAAAGAACGACGAAATAAAATTTGCACATGGAGCGTTTACTTCAATTCATGTATCCCGATGAAATGAAGAAAGAAGTAATAGAATTACATGCACTTTTCGTATATTCGAGCTTCGGATTAATGTAGATCGCAAAAGACTTGATGAAAAAGATCATTTTTCTGCTGTATCGTTCAAGCATTTGTTTATAAACCTGAGTTTTCTTAAAATAGAATAATAATCTATTATAAATCCGTATATATTATTTGGAATAATAACTATTTTCTATCCACACAACTTTTAGAGTATTTCATACAGTAGATGAAATGCAATTGACTGTAAAACCGTTTCGAAAATTGTGCTCGAGGAAATAATCGAGAATCTGTAATGTACCATATGTCCCTCTCTGTGATCCCCCTTGAGTAAAGAATTATTGTACCAATTCGATTTGTTAAATAATAATGATGCGTGGAATAAATATCATATATGTATTGCATCAGCATAATTGTAAGTTACACGATAAAAATAACGTAGGCAACAAAAGTATCGCAATACAATTATTATAGTAAAAAAAAGTATTGTATAACAATGTAAAAAGTGTGGTATAATAATGGTGCTCTAATTTTTTTTATATCATTGCTTTGGCAAAAAAATAAGTTTATTCATAAGATTTGCTCGAATTCAGTGCTGAATTATTATTACGAGTGGCAACGTCAAACAAAATCGGATGAAAAAGATGTATCATAAAGTGAAGTTGTACTCCACAATATAATTGTTATATTCTCAAATTCTTTTGTTAATAGAATTATTAAATTTGTTATACATTTACGTAAAAGATATTATAGCATACAGAATAAGCTGTGTTCTGTATTAATAAATGTCTCATACAAATATACATCTGTAATATTTTATTCTAAGGTATTAAACTTTGTCGATATTATACCAAACAAAAGATCTTTTATTATAATCTCTAAAGTATATCACCTGTGCACAATATACGAAATTAATATACAGTATACATATACATATAGTATTATATTGTATACATAATATTAAATATATGTATATATACACGAATATAATACAGTTATATGTTTTTAACAGTGATGAAATAATTTATTGTGATTAATATTATAAAATAATTCATTTATAATTATAATCTTTATAACGCATTTTAAGGTAAAGTCTTTATTGAATTGTTATTGTCAAATAGAGAGTATTTTAATTATTTTCTTAATCTCAATATTTTATTTTTACTTTTTAATGTGAATAGTTGCCTTTGCTTCGTTATTGAACGTTATTGACGGCTACGGTGGCTGTTCGTAATAAAAATGCATTATACTATATCTGCATTGTAATACATAATGTGCTAAACGATGATTTTTAAAATTTATACACCAAAGAATCAATTAGCAGTCGATTTCATTCTCCTTTCCTAATGAAAACAATAAATCACATATAAATCAGAATAATGTGATTTCTTGATTTATTTCAAATCTCTGTTACTAATTAATCATGCATCTTTTGCCTTTAATATAGAAGGAATTGAAATTAAAGCTTTCTAAGTGATCTATAGAAATCAAGCTGAAAGCAAGTACCTATTCTTTCAATGTGTATATCTCTAAATATAAAAGTGTTTTAAATTCAAAATAAAGTTGATACATTTTTTATAAAGATTAATATTGATAAAAATTCTTTTTGGTAATATTATTGTAGAAGATTTTTATATTAAATTATTTTAAAAACAACTATATAGATACATAGATTGATATAGGTTCTGTATGTATTATGTTATCGCTAGCTTCATTTGTTCAATTTTAAAAATTGGATTGATCAACAATCGTAACTCAAAGAATTTTATAACATCGATAAGTATTGTACAGTTGTTTTATCTACATGCAGTACTACATTTATCGAAGATACATCTCTCATTTTTCGTAGAGGGCATCACTTGCTTGTAACAACGATATATAGGCTTCTTCGATCACAAATTTCGGTAACTTATCGGCATTAGTCAATGAACTATAAATGTTTATTGACTAATGTTTATACCATCTCATTAACACATACCTGGATAAAATTGTAAATTTTTTCTTGTTTAATATATGAAAAGAGATTAGATTATAATGAATTATATTAATTAGAATTATATTAGTTATAAATTTGGCTTTAAACACTAAATTCTGCCGATTGAATTAATCACCTGTTAAGTTAACCAGGATTTTAATTGGTCCAAATTATTCATAACGAGGATTTTACAACTTTTAAACTTTTTTCAGAAAGCGCCCTTAATCTTTAAACCAAAAATGTATTTTACATTTTTCTGTGCAATAAATTTTACTTATCTGCAGACAAACTTTAAAAGCTTCATCTGTAGGGATTTGATTTTTTTTTATATTATGCAAAAAAAGAACCGAAATTTGTAGATAAGATTGAACAACGTTAAGCATGAACCGGTCGATGATAATTTATCGAGCAATCGGTTGCAAACTCACTCTGCACACGTGAAACGTACAATAGTTGCAGTTTTCAGATGATTATATCGTTTTGATCTACAATTTAATTTTTTTTTTGTAAACCACTCAGAAAGCTCTACTTCCCAACCCCTCTGCACTAAGTACAGAGAAAGAACGATCATCGATGACAGAGCTCTCGAACAAGTCGGGAGCTCGTGTCGTTCTCACGCTCAGAGAAGAGGGCTGTAACTCCTCATCATGGTTACATCAACTCCCATGTTAGGGAGGGAGAATGAGATCAACTCCTACAGAACTGATCCTGTGAAGTATGATCTTAAATTTCGTATGCCATCATGCCCATATATATATTGTCGATGACGGTATTTTAAACACGAGTAACATTTAGTCATCATAGCCCTCTATTAACGAAATTGACAACTAACCCGTCCGTTCACATAAGTAGAATTCAAGGCTGACTATTTTTCTACAGTTCTGAAGTGAAGATAACTCTAAGGCGCAGACATCATGTTAGAAACGTATTGTTACGTATTGCATCTTGAAAATATATCAAGTAAGATATACAGAATAAATGATGTGAGATCCAAAAAAATACCTCAATAAAAAAAATTCTGACTCACCGACTCGATGCGCAACGAGCGGAGTTATTCATCAGCAACGTAGCTAAGGTGAAACTGTAACATACGAACATAATTAAAATTAAAGAAACATTTAAAATAATCAATATATTTCAAAAGATAATTCTTATTTGCTTCTAATTCGTCTTTCAATGTAAACGTGATATTTAATAATTTAGTAATATAATTATCTAAAAGATCTTTACAAAAGTAAAATTTTATATAATTTTTCTGTCTAATTATTTCTAACTAATCGAGATAACACAATTCGAATAAATGGAAAAGAATTATTAATTTATTATGAATTATGAATTATTAATTATAAAAATAAGAGATGATACTCACCCCAAGGTTGCTCCGCCGGTGCCCGATGTCTCTCTCGGACCTCCTCCTCCTCTCAGGACGTCAGGCCTCCCCCTCTCGCCGCACAGGACACAGGACACTCGCGAGAAACACTCGCGGATAATAAACTACAATCGCGCGCGGACTATCTATCAGTAAATGTCTTTCGCGCGATACTGTACGGCACAATTACTTTCGCCTCGACGACGACGTCTCCGCCTCGAGCGAGCGCGACACATTTATTCCGACAAACATTTGATACTTGATACACTTGCACATTATTGAGCACGTACTCGCGTAGTCGATTATTTCCGCGGCCCGCGAAACGAAGAGCAGGTGTGCCAATCGTAGAAATGAATAACACAGCACGGAGCACGGCGACGGGCACGCGCGGAGCACGGACACTTATTCACAACTGTACGAAATTTATCGGGAGAGTAATCGAATGATTTCCGCAGGTACTCCGAGTGTCGAAGAAAACAAGCGGCAAGGCCGCACGCCGACAAGAACAATCGATCGCACGTCGACTTCGAAGGTACGCTGTTTCAACGTTCAACGGTCGCGCCTAGTATGGCGTCTGGTATGCCGCTGCCTGCGCCGCGCCGCGCGTCGGCGGCTTGGAGCAGGCGAACGTGATTGGCCAGATCCGGGGGCTCGACTCGCGAGCCAATCACGTTCGACGTCTCGCCCGACCGTGCGGCGGCAGCGGCCGAGCTGGGCCGAGCGGCGCGCGCGAGTGCCGCTGGCCGCGGCCGCAAGTTAATACGTGTCACGTGACGCGTTCAACGGCTGTGCAAGACGTTGTCGTGTAATTCTTTTATCGTGAACGAAAAGAAATCCGCGTATCAAGTGTTGCAAAGTAAACGTACGCCGAATATTTCGTTTCTTCTTGTGTCGACTGAAACGAGTGGGATGCCGTCGCTGGGCGAAATTAACGCCGACTGCCGTGCTGGACGCCGTACGTGTGTCATCCTCTCGGCTGTGATTTGGCGGGTCTCCTGCAGTGCTCCGTGATCGATGAGTATATAAATTTTACACGAGAAATAAATGTTTCGAAGCGCGGTACATCCGAATCTTAATAGAATCGTTGTCCCGCGTGTGGCAGTGAAACGATAACCTCGAAATTCGCGTCTCTTGCCTCCGTTTCGATTACTACTTCGAATGAGTGAATCGCGCGGGAAGATGCTTCAATGAATAGCTTGAACCTCTTGTTAATTGCGGTAATTAATAATCATTCGAGTGATTGAAGAGAACGATCGCGAACGAGGGAGCGAGCTTGCTTCGAAACGCGTATGAACGTCGAGAGTGCGAACAAGCAAGCTCAAATATGCGTCCACGATTACAATTCCGTTTTTCGTTAAAGAGCAGGCACGTAATTCGCTCGTTCACGTGGTTCGTCACGTAAATGTTTCAAATTTATTTGTACGTGTGCTCCTTTATTTCTTTACTTTACCGAAAATTTACGTTAAATTGTATCGTTAGTAAAAATTTATTCGCGATCGTTCTCGCAGCGCGGTGATCGCGCGTATACCATAAAATACAATGAACCGTCGCCGCCGAGATACTTAAAAATTATAAAACGTTCTCTCTCTTACTTGTTCCCCAAATATTTATTCGTTTTGCTCACAAAATTTTCCATAACGATCGCCTATTGTATCGCATTTCGTGCTCTTGTCTTGCAGATTTATATATATTTAGATATAAAACTTATAACTTATAATTCTTAGAATTAAGTAGAATTTCCTGAGTAATTCATTTATATTAAACTCTAAAAAACAACGTTCCATTATAATAGCAATTAAATGAAAGCGGGTTTTAATTCTGGCATTTCGAGGAGTCCACACGGGGAGAGGAAATGCGCATTCTCTTTTTCTCTTTCTCTTTCTCTGTCTCTCTTATACTTTACATAAGAGTACATCGCGATAGCTCTCCTATACTCTTAAGCTTACGCGATTTATAATTCGTGATTTGCAGTTCGCTATTCGTATGAGATAAATGGACTGCAGATTTACGAAGTTCGCAACAGAGAGAAGCCCGAGAGTGCTCAGGATTTTTCAGAGTTTTTTCTTATTCGCATTCGTTGCTCACCAACCGATTTACCAGTAAAGCGATTTTTAAACAAATTCAAAGGACGTAAATCATGAATCAATGAATTTATGTTGTGATATATGTTGTGATGTACTTTTTTACATATGCAGAAAAATTAATAAGTAACGAGGAAAAAATGGGGTTTTGGCAGTTAAACGCAGTTATTAACGTGTTCTTTTGATATTCATAGTCTGCAAAATAATCGGTCCAGAAATAAAAGAGAAATAAAATCAAATTGCCAAAACCAGTCCAGAGAACGTGAGGTCGTCTCATTACGTCATTTGAAGACTACGAATATTAGTAAAATTTTGCTAGTATTATCTCGTGAAAATTACACTATCTTTAACTATTCAATCACTTAATGCTCGTCGGAGAGCGTGCGACTATTTAATTATCTGTCAACGCTTCGTTGAAGATGGCTCAAAGTAGAGCCGAAACGTAGAATTTATAACTTTGTATTGCTAATTAAATGTTACGTAACGTTAACTTGCGTATAACTTACTGTATTTAACTATCAAAGCTTTTTCCTTGTTACTTGTTAATTTCAAGAGTCTTTACTTAATTATCCATTCATTTGAATATACGGAGTAGTCCATTATGGATTATACCTCGGGGTTATACCCAATCGATTAAACTAATTATTTTTATTTTTAATATGTAGTCGATTAGATCAATCGAATTTTTATTGATTTTATATTCACGGAAGACGCCTTCTCTCGTGTAGATTAAATGACGCAACAATCAGTTTAAAGGAAAACCCAAGCACTTGTTCGATAAAAACATTTTGCTCGGTCAATTTGGCGAATTTCTCTAAAGCTAGAGTGTATTTTATATCTCGTGCGAATAATGATTATTATAAGTTAGTTTATTCTGTTTTTAGTACAAAAGGAGATTGTTCATATCG